AAGTAAAAACAAATAGATCAATGAACTGTAACAGAGAACCCGGACACAAGTCCTCACTTATATAGTCATCTGAATTTCTACAAAGGCAGCCAAGAAATCCAATGAAAGAGAAGTCTTTTTTTCAACAAATGATGCTGGAATAACTAGATATCCATATGGAAGAAATAAACCTCAACCCTGACCGCATGTCATATACAAAAATTAACTTGATGTATCATAAACCTAAAAAGAAAATAAAAACCATAAAAGAAAAAAATCGATAAATTAGATTTCATCTTAAAACTTCTGCTCATCAAGACACCATTAAGACAATGAATAGGCAAGTCACAGATTACAGGAAAATATCTGTACAACACATATTTGACAAATGAATGGTATATTCAGGACATATGAAAAACTCCTGTCTCAATAATAAAAAGTCAATCCAATTTTCTAGTATATAGCAGGTGCTCATAAATGGTAGCTATTGTTGGTTAAAATTAAGTATGACTTATAAAGATCTGGCAAATTAAACCCTTTTACTTAATGGAAAAATAATATCTTGCTATCAAGTGTTTCTTTATATTAGAACCTTATAAAAATCCTTAGTAGCAAGTCAGTCTGTGAATGAATAGTCAATCTCCACAGCCACCATATAAGTAATTCTGATAGTTCAACTGATCCTTTGATTTTGCACACAAGCTTTTACAGAGGTGACTTATGTCACACTGACTCTTCACTAGGACATAGTGTAAATCCATCAAACTGTTTCTTCTATGAAAAGCTGAGAAGGTCAATTCTGATGAGATGAGATTTCATACTTGCATTCAAGGGTGAAAGATTCTAGTACTCTGCCTTCCTAAAACTGACTGAGGCTTCCATGGTCTCCTCAAACTATCCCCTGACTGTGGATGTCCCCATCTCTACACATGGTAAGGCAGAACACAAGAATAAAGAAGGCGGCTAGCTAACACTGGAGTCAGGCATGGCTCCAACTCTGCTGCTTATTAATTAACTGTCTGATGCTGGACAAGTACTAAACCTACCTTTTTGATACTAGTTTTCTCACAGGTAAATTGGAGATAATAACAACACTTACTCTCTAAGGTAATTATAGTCCTGACTGCAGCTCTAAGATAGTTCTAATGGAGATGGCTGATCTAATATTAATTCCTTGACCTTTCTTCTTTTTAAAATGTTCTAAAAGCCTAAATTTAAAAGTATGACTAGATCATGAAGTGAGAGAACTTCTCTAAAGTGGTTTTTAGCTGTTAATATTCCTTTACCATATAATGCTTTGAGTATTAACTCGGGTGTTAATAAGAGCTCTTTTATTTTTCAAGAAAGGAATAAGCACATTTGGGGGGGGGGGAAACTGCTAAAAGAAATCTAGAGACCCATTCTTCAGCAGCAAAGCACAGTAAGTAGAGGTAAGCAAAGACAGAGTCAATGTTAAGAATAATAAGATAAAGAAGAGCAAAGTCACTGAGGATGTGGACTGCATTCAGACTTCCATTTCACAGGCCACATCATACACAACTTTATTAATGTGCCATAGTGAAGGCAATATGAAGAAATGTTCCACAGAAAGGCTGAACAAGTTTTCAGAAGACAACTAAGACGACTCCTGTGCCAGGCCTCTTACCTCTTAGCTTCCTCCTTTCATAATCAATGGTAATGAATTCTTTACCTTTTTCTCCTTCCTGCCCACTCCCCACTTAATTCTGCATGGATTCCAATACTCTTTTTCCCATATCAGTACCATGTCTATTCACACCGATTAGATCTTTCTGCAGGATCAGCACTGCTTCTGCTTCAAGAAATAAAAGCTTTGACAGCATTCACACAAGGGGGTTGCTGTCCCAGGCTACATAAATCTGGAAACTTAGTAAAAACTAATGAGTGGGTGATAAAAATCTGAAAAGCACCTTTGAAGCAGAAGGCAAATGACTTATAAAGAACTTATATAAATTGATAAGAAAAATACTAAGAATCCAATAGATACTTAGGCAAAGCTCAAAGAACAAGTTTTCAAAGAAGAAATACAAACCGGCTTAAAAATTTTTTTTTCAACTTTACTACTAATCAAAGAAATATAAAGTACAATGAATGCCACTGAATACCCATAAATATGCTATGCTTTTTTTTAAAAGAATACTTCTCAGTATTTGGAATGATATGATGAAAGAAACACTCTCATATGCTACTAGTGAGAATTTAAATGAGTATAACCTTCCAGAAAGCAATCTGAAAACTTTTTACATATAATCCAGTAATTCCACTTTTAGTAATACCATTTAAAGAAATAACTAATTGGAAATTCAGACAATTTATCCATTACAAGGATAGTCGATCTCTATTAGCAGTGACTAAGAATAGTCACTGCTATTTTAGATGCATATTTTAATAGGAAAAAAAAGGTTAAAAACCCCATTGATATTAGGGAACACTGAAGTATGTCCTTTTTCTCACCATCTGTGAATGGTTAGTCCTTCTATTTTACCACTTCAACCCCCAGCACCTAGCACAATACCTCACTAATACCACAAAAATTTTTGTTAGCTTAAAACACTATACAAAGCCAATTAATCAATGACTTAAGATAGTATAATTTTATACACAGAAACATGAACACACACATAAAAGACACGAACACTAAACTTATTACTGACCTAATTCTACCACAATTTGGAATAAACTCAATTCCATGAGATTGCAGAAGTGAGTATTAGATTGCATTTTAATGTAACAGTAGTAATCAGAATCTACAGTCATTCCCCTTTGTCCTTTCTCTTTCTTCCTGCCTGGAACACAGATGTGAGGTCTAGAGATGCAGCAGCCATCTTAAAATCATAAGTCAAGAAGCCAGAAGTAATAGGCTGTAGAGCCAGAAAAGAAAAACCTAAGTTCTTATTATATCACTGAGCCACTGCCTCACTCCAGACATCTTGTTATGTGAGACAAAGACACACTACACATTAAACCCATTGTTATTAGTGTTTACCACTTTGACTATCTAATAATTCTGACAAGAAGGTCATCTATTCCTAGAGCTCAAGGGGCATTCAGCTTCTCAAACTCATTTATTTATGGACCTCAATTCCTACTAGACGGTTGACTCAGACAACTAATACCAGTTGAGTAAGCATGTTCAGTGAGATATTGTCTCTTCCTTCTCTGGTCACCAAATGCCCAGCCCCAGAATTCTTTCAGGCACTAGAACTCTGCTAAAATCACACTAAAAGGCGATGTCAAATCAAAACAGCATCTAGAATCCCAGGCCTTCAGTGCTTTTCTATTAAAAAGCTGATGACCAGATTTAGGTCTTCGCTTTTCACTGCATTTAAAAGACTACAATGCTATTCATAAATATCTTTAAAAATGATGTCAAAATCTGTGACCTAGTAATTCCACTATTGGGAGTAGTTAGTAACAGCAGCTGAAAGTTTTGTGCTGGACAGTGTGCTAAGCACTTTGCTTAAAATCTCATTTAACTTCACAAAAATTGAATAAGGTCATTACAATTATTTGACAGAAGCTTGGAAACCAACACAAGGTCACACACTAATAAGTGACAAAGATGGAATTCAACCTCAGATTGATTGGACTCCAGAGCCTATCTTTTTTTAATACCACCTAAACCAGGAATATACCCTTGGGAAATAACCTCAAAATACAGCAACAACTTTAGGCATAAGGAGCTCAGTGTCATGTAAGTACAACATGGCAAAGCATTCTAAATACACAACACTTAAATAAATTGAAGCAAATCAGATTACAAAATATTATGTAGGCATCAAAGATATTTTTACATCTAACTTTTAGTGACTCATGGAGGAAATTTCATGCTGTAAGTAGAAAAAGCAAAATACAAAATTTTACATATAGTCAGGTCTCAACTATATAGAAAATAAATCTGCACATGGAAAGATCTAAATTTACTGCTAAATAAAAAAAGACAAGTTGCAGAATAATATATATACAGCATGGCCCCACTTACGTAAATAGTGCCTGACTCATTTTAAGTATTCAATAAATGTAAGCCATTATGATGATGATGATGATGATGATACTTTGATAATACTTTTTATAATACTTTATAATCATAAAAATCAACAAATTTATTTAAATAATAAGCTACAGCACTTCTTTATTTAATACATAAAAAGTGTACTACTTTAGGAAAATTAAATAACATGTGCCTTTCTTTACTAGAAATATTAACTTATAAAATAACTCATAATTATACAAGTTCAGATTAAATACTTCTAACTTATAGGAATCGAGTAGCACTGAGAAAAATGTGGCAACGATACCAATCATCTAAGGTATGGTTATATTCAGTATGTTGGACCACACAAAACTGTGCTGATAGTATTATATTTAGAGTTTAAAGTCATAGAGAGAAAGGCAAGATCGGGGTGGTACTTCAAGGGCTATGTTGAACAAGCAGATTCCCTTGGCCAGTATCTTACACTACTAAAACTAAGGCTTTGGATGCATTCTTCAAGAGATAATCAATAGCTGCAGGGTGATACAGCAGACACATATTGGACATGAATGGAAATTACGAATATTTTTCAGCTGCTGTCTTTAGGTAGAATTTACACACAAACAACACACACACAACCCCACGAGAAACTTATTTTGAAGGAAAAATGGGCAACTCTTAAACTTAGTTCCTCAAGTTCCATAAGAGTCTTAATATTTGAATATTTAAGTTGAAATGCACAGTCTGTGGCATCACATTGATTTCTGGCCTATCTACAGCAAAGAATAAATTGAAATGTTAAAAAATGAAAGATTTTTCCCTTCCCTTTCTCCTCAGGTATGTGCAACAAAACAATATACCTCCCAAAGTAATATAGAACATTAAAAATGCTGAAAATTTGAAAACAAAACAGAAAACCAACAGCTACAACTCTGAAGAAGAGTTGTCTGTTTTTCTTGCACTGTACTGTGTAAGATTACAAAACCATCACACAGACAAAGAAGAGTTTGGCTGTTCTGTAAGTCTTTACCTGTTTCTTGCCCCATTAGCCCATTGCAGTACATGGCATGTTGTTCAATCTTTGTGGGTGGGAAGCCTTGGTCACATAGTGGGCAGGATACCTTGGTATTGGCTGAGAAGGTAGAAGTACATATTTCCTTCTCAGTATCTTCCCTGTTACCAACCTGAAGAATATGACAAATGGCAATTTTAACAGCTTTACTTTATAAAATATATTTCCCCCCAAGAGACTTTATCCCACACTTCATTTACTTTCAAAGAGACAACATCAATTAGTTTGCCAAATTCAGGACTAAGGGTTGAAAGATACAATAATATTGTTAATACTTACTCAGTGCCTGCCTACTATGTGCTAATAAGCACTCTGCATATTAATACTCATTTAATCCTCATAATAATCTTAAAAAGGTATTAACATACCCTTTTACACATGAGAAAAGCATTGTCCAAAACAGTAAGGCAACTTAACCAAAGTTACAAAACAAATAAGTAGCAGAGCTAAAATTCAAACCAAGGACTTAGCTGGTTTCAAAAACTGAGGGCATTCCTCTCTATCATGCTGCAAGTCACTGTCCTCGTTGGGTCAATATACTGTGTTTGCGGTGTTTCAGCAGTCTGTGTATCAACAATATCTTAAAAAAGAACAGCAATCTCACAAAAGAACTGTGATACTGTAAGTGACTTCAGACATAAGGAAGTTAGAAAACAAAAGAGCTCTAAGCAAAAGCAGCACAACTAAAATTTAAGAACCTAGTCTTCAGCTTAAACCAGTAAGATATACCACCTCCTATGTTTTACTTGTGTCTTTTGGATTGAAAGAGGAAATACAACTAAAACTCAAATATTTAAGACAGCCAAATAATCATTAAGACAATTCTGCTGAAACCATTCTTATACCTTATCTCTCTTACCCCTCTGTGTTCTATAGTCACCATTTTTCCTACAGTTGCCAGTATCTCTCAGAGGCAGTTTTATTTTACCTTTACAGGTAAGAACTAAGAACTCTACGGTGATTAATTCAACAGTATGCGTGAACACTGCAGCACTACTGCCTAATACATGCTTCAAAAGAGAGCATGTCCTACCCAATCAATGTGAAACTGTCCTGCATAGCCACTATTTCCATTTAAGTGCAAGGAGCACCCGGGCTGTCATTATGCCTTACTATGGGGAAAAAATAAACCATCTTCTGGTACAAGAATAAAACAGGACCAAAAAAGCAAAGGGTAGATCATTTGAGCTCTGAGACAACTGTTTTTTTGTGTGTGTGTTTTTTCTTTTTATTCTCTTTAAATTTAGGCCATCCTCAAAATCTACTGCATATGAATGTGATCTAGCAGAGAGGGAAACAGGCCATCTAAATACCAAGTTAAAGAGTTTCCACAATTGCCAGAAGATGTTTTCAATATGCCTGCTTTTTACTTAAGAAAACATATTCTGAAAGGGAAAAAAGGGAAGATGAGAAAGGAACAATCAGTGGTTGAGTTCCTATACTGTGCCAGGCTTGAGCATGCATTTTCCACGTCCATCCCTCACAACCCAACTGACCAAGGTACCAGTAGCTTCAGTATTACAGAAGAAGAAATTGAGGCTTGGAAAGGCAAAGTAACCTACTGATCACAAAATTAGTAAGTAGGAAATCTAGATCCAAACCTAGGCCTGTGTGGGATCAAAACCTTCAGTATTTCCATTCTACCACAGTGTGGCAAAAGTAAAAAAGCACCTCCTCTCACATTGTTTCTGGAAGCTGACTCTGCCAGGAATTGAGAGACTATATGGTTCTATTATTCTCTTCTAGGAAGTGGGGAGAGTCAAGTGGGTCTAGAAGTTCTAGGTGTTGTTTATTCCAAGTTTAGTCACTAAGCTTCTCACAAATCCAGGTTCCTCTGTTCATAAGTTTTACAATGAAAAGTTGTCCTGTGCATGCAAAGCCATTTGAACAGAGGGGAGAAAAATCAATATACCTTAAAAGTTGCAAGTAGTCTTGAGCTACTACTAAAAGTTAGTGGCAATCGAGCAATTACTAGGCATTCTAAGGTTCGCTAAGCACAGAAATGTTATGTTATATGACAGGCATGTCATAGTGCTCACACCCTGCACTATATATCCTTTGTATTCATCATCAGTTCTATAAAATGTGGAGAATGTACCTTCAACTATTAATGTATTCAAGAAGGAGTAGTCTGTCTATTATTGTCTTACTGTGAATACAAAACCACTTACAATCACACTCATAGGCAACCCAGAAGGTTTCTGAACATTTTTATATTAAAGTAAATAATGAAGGAACCTCAAGAAAAAAAATACAAGCAAAGCAGCATTTATTAGGACCATGTAGTCAGGGATTTATTTGGTCTCTGCAAGTGATTTCTACTTCTTTTAAAATACTATATAGCCATTTCTCAAAAGAGGTAGCTGGACACTGAATCTTGATCTCTTAAAGGTCTTTTACCTTCTGGCCTCAAAAGAAACTTCACCTCAAGAAATGAACCCAGTGAAAATAAAAGTATGTCCCACAAATCACCAACCCCCACCTGTCTCATGTCTAGAAAGCTGCTTAGATCTTTCCGCTCTTACCCTAGGACTCTTATCACAGTTTACTTAAAAACCAACTGATTAAACCGACTGTTTGATTCTAAATAACACATATTAACTCTTCTGAAAACAGATTATCTGAGACTCCAACTAAAGGAAACTCTCAGGGAAGAAAATATTATTTCCAAAGGAACGTGACCACTGCAGGACATCAAATCAAGAGGGTTATAGTTCTGCCACAGATATTCATTCCAAATACCTTAAATACTGTTGAGCAATTCTGTCATTAGTAGGGTAATATCACTGAACAGACACAATACATTAAAAGCAATAAATAATAACTGTTCTACATCATACTTCTACTTGTGCCAGATCTCTACTATGTCTTATATTCTTTATCTAATTTAATCGTCAGAGAAACCCACTGAATGTCTCCATTTTACATACGAAGAACTAAAATTCACAAAAGCATTTCTCTTGTATGCTCCCCTAATGCCCTAGGCATTAAAATGTGAGACCACATTATAATTTTAAGGACAGAGATTTTTTTTTCTTATATCTCCAGAGTCTAAAACAATGACTAGATCCCAGTATATTAATTATAATATCTGCTAAATAAATTAATAAAATGATTAATTAAATAATTTGCCCAAGGTCATAGTTAAGTGGTGGGATTGGATTTGAAGTCATGTCTTCTAATTCCAATGCTCAAGTTCCTTGCACTACACCAAATCACCTGTCAATAAACAAGAAATCTTAGGACTAATGACCCTATGCATAGATTCTAAGAGCAAGAGTCCATACCCATTATACAACCTTTGTGCAAATAAAATGTACAGATTCTATCTTTCTAATAAATAACTTGTAACTAGTAAGAAATTACTCAACTTAAAAACTACAGCATCTCTAACTTCTTTTAATAGAAATTTTAATACTATTCAGAGACATCCACAGATACAGCAAAGAACAACACAAAAGGAGGACACTCAATGTGAGAAAGACCATACAATTCCATCCATTTAATGTGTAGTGGTGCAGATATATACACTATAAATCTAAATAGGGTTCATGCTCTTTGCCCTAAACAAAGAGCAGTCTCCTTTGTAGTCATGAATGAGTAAGAAATCAGCCTTGATTAACTAAAGGCTTGCAAGGCTTCTTCTGTATATTAGGATGACTGTGTTAGCTAC